GATCGGACCACAGCGTGAATCATAGTAATTGGCTCTTATCTCAGCGGTGGAGAACAACAACCATTAACAGAGAGGCTTTAGATGGAGGCAGTGTTAGTTTGGTTCTAGCTTACAGTTTGGAGCTTGAGAGGAAAGCTGTGAATATTTATTGAACTGATGTTCATGAAACTCTGAGTGTATTTCTGTGTGTTTCTCAAAAAAACAAACCTTCATTTCCGCTGTGTGTCTGTAACTGTTTAGCATATTGTTTCTCCATGTTATGCATTTTTTATAAAAGCAACACATCCCCAGTGCTTCAATTTGAAGAAAAAAAAACTGCATTAATTTATAGAAGTCAATTAAAACAAGCCCAATTACCATTAACTATTGCATTATGAATAATAAATGATGTTTTTATTGCAGCCAGTCATCCATAAACCATTACAGTGTGAAACGTGAAGGTTTCTACTGACAACACTGATTCGTCTCCATCAGGATCCAGCCTGTAATGAGCCAGTCAGGACGCCATTTATCTTCACAACATGACATGATTACAACATTCATTTATCCATCTGGGCAGAATCACATCATTCATCCATCTAAGTTATTACACTGTTCATTTGTCTAATATGGTGGTGTTACAGCTGAAAGACCTGTTTCCACCTGGAGAACATTAAACATGCATCTCAATGCTCTGCTACTCATGCTAATATTCAAAGACTCAGGAGGATCAATGATGAAGCTGTAAAAACCTTTTGATATCTTAAAGGTATTTGACTCTCTGTATTTTTAATTGTCATATGGAACTCTTTTAACTGTTACAGTGGATAAATGCTGAAATGCATGATGGTCAAGTTGGATGCCACACTGTATTTTTTGAGTGCAGATCATTTTCACCTCTCAGCATCAGTGAGCACCCGTCCTGCTGTTAATAATTCAACATTTTTTCACACAGGCTAAAAGATGAAGAATAATTACCTCCAGCTGCGTCTGATATTGTAACATCCTCAGCGTAGTTTTGTTGACCTCTGCTCTCTGCTGAGTTTTTCACTCTGCAGAGGAGTTCGGATGCGTCTCTTCCTCATCTTTTATTATTTTGGACAATACATGTATTTAAACTCATGCTAAGAGAGGAGACGTTTCTGCTTCAACCTGCTGTTGAGAACTGCTGAGTGTCTGGAGCGTAATGTCAAAGTCTTGTTTTCACCTTGCTGACATTAAACCTGCAGCTCAATGATATAACTCCACTTCTCCTCAGCTATTAAGGCTAAAAAATGCAATGCTTCTGGTATTCTACTTTTCTAAAAATCTCTTAAGTGCTGAATCACTCAGGATAAGTGTTGTGGTACTTCTCTTTAACCATCTCCACTTCTCTGACTGTCTTGGTTTTGTCTCTTTCACACTGAAAAGATGAATGGATGGTGCTGTGAATTGTGTGCAAGTGTAGAAATACTGCAGTTAAAGGCAGCTTGTTTGAAGATTAGTCTTTAATTATAAATCTTTGTTTCAAGTACAAAACACTTCAACTGAGGGCAAAGAACAAATCAACTCTTTGGGAAGCTAATAACAGCGCTAAATAGTGTGAATGTGATTTGTGTTATTTATTTCGGCTTCAGTAGGCTTTTTAGGTTGTAATTAGATTTCAGACCTAACCAAGTGATTTAACTGAGAGAGCAACATTTAAAGTGCAGTAAAAGACTGGTTTTCATTTGTCCTACTACATGTTTGCATTTATACAGCAAACTTTTGATGAATTTTCTCTTCCAACGCCTGAGCATATCATCCTGAAGAAAAAAAACACCAAACTTAGTGAACCTTGTAAGTTTTAATGGAGCCGAATTTTGTACTGTTACCTTTGTTAAATGTCACTGTTGTTCCTTGTGTCATATGGGAAGACGAAAAGTCTACTAGCCGCCAGGCTAATTTATACAATGTAAAATGCCATAGGCTTGTGCTAAAAACATTAGCATGTTGTTTTTGTGGGGAAAATGTGTCCAGCAAAAGAGAAGTGAATGCTGCGAGTTACAGTGAAGCCAATTTGTGTACTTGTGTTTGAAATAGTCTCTATTAAGCCATGTTTAATGCGTGTTTTGAATCAACTAAACTTTACAGCACTTCACAGAAACCCCGCCGCCCACTAGTGTTTTGAAAGTGTAACTGCGGAGTGACACAGACACACCATCGCAGAAGTATAAATGCTCACAATGGCGTAGACCACGTGTGTAGGCTACAGCGTAAGCTCTGCATAAGTATAAATCCCGCTTAAGGGTACCAGGCCCTTCAAAACCTTCTATGTGATGCTATTTACCCTGATATTTATTGTTACTGTATCATGCATTTTGTTATTGGAGTTTGCTTTTATCATGAGCTTAGCAGAACACAATGCTAAATAATGCTATATAACACAATGCTATGGTAAACTAAAACAGTGCACTCAGTAGAGGCTGTTTCAGAAGCTAATTAAAATACACCCCTCATCTATTTGTGACGGTGCCACATCACATTGCACAGCAGAGAGACAGGCACAGGCACAATATGTTTAATTTAGATATAGTGTCATTATAAAGACTGAATGTATTTTTAATAACTAAAACACTGCCAGAAATCTCAGATCCTTGTATTCATAACTTAAATTTGAACAGTGCTAACTTTATCTGTAGGCTGCAGCACAACAAAGTAGGAAAAAAACAACAAACATCACTAAAACAGACAAAGAAAAGAAAATATAACAGCCTACTTACTTACTTATTGAAGCACAAATGATGGGGAAAAATGACTGAACAAAAAATCCCCAAAAAGATCCACTTATGAAATGCTCCTGGTGTGATATGACGCCGTTCAACGGATGGAACAAAACCAGGTTGCAGCGGCTCCCAGTGGCTCAGTGGTTAGGGCAGACGCTCCATTTACAAAGGCATTGTGCGTCCCGCAGATGCTATGGGTTCAATTCCAGCTCATGGCCCCTTGCTGCAGGTCATCCACTCTCTCTTCCCCTTTCACATACAAATCTGTCCTGTCAAATATAGGCAAGAGCTAAAAAGAAACAGATTGCATATGGCAGAGAAGCCAATAAAACTGAGCCTAATTTTTCTCATAATATGCCTAACTTTGGTGGATCATTCCAATTTCGGGTGTGGAGTGATAATGTAGATTTGTTCCCCAGGTAGAGTGATTCTTCGGTTTTTGAGCCACGACAAAGGCAAAAAAATGTGGCCTGCCACAGACCAGAACAGGCTTGTTTTTAGCCAAGCCTATTTCATTTTTATTTAAGAGGAGCGAGGAGTCAGCAGTCAGTGCCGTTACAAAACAGTCAGGTTTTTCAACAATTGTGAATCAACGCAACCACGAGGGGTCCAAGTGCGTACAGTCATACGTGTGCACATAAAAATTAGGCTGAGAGTAGTCCAGTAGTTTGAAAGACTAGCTGCATACAGACAAAAAACTCATACTCAGACACTATCACGCCTGCTGGAAATAATAATGAGTAAAAAGGCAAGAACAACCTTTGAATTTAAGGAGTAAGCTACTGTCACCCTCATCCATAAGCTACTTAAAGGGGAAACTCCCCTACCGATTTTACACATCAAAATCTTCTTACAGGTCTTGGGGAGTAATACTGCATAAGTGAACACGGAGCGGCAGCTTTGATAAATCAAGGTCTGATTAATTGCCTCAAGTGGCAACATTGATTGGTGCTGAAGAATTAAAGTTAAAATGGTTAAAAAAAACTGAAGTTAAAAAGATGTGATTTTACCAGACCTCAGCCTGCTCGTCATCTCAGCTTGAGGCTGGAAGCCACATTAGCCACTACGAGCATAAGACGCTCAGATATCTGACCCAACTGTCAGTGATTGAGTTGCATTGTGGGTATGTGTGGAATAAAAACGATGATATCCCTGGCCCTGCTGCATCGGTTTTGATCCATTTTGTGTTTATAAACATCCATCATGAGTCAGAAAATTATAGACGTGCAGTGTTAAATGGGTGAAGTAATAAGGTCTAGACTAAGTAATAATAATAATAATATAATTTAGAAAATAAACTATTGATAGTTTGGTGTTGCTGGTAGGAGGCCTCGGGGCAGACCCACAACATGCTGGAGGGATTACATATCTCATCTGGCCTGGGAATGCCTTGGGGTCCCCCAGGAAGAGATGGAAAGCCTGGCTGGGGAGAGGGACGTCTGGGGTGCTTTGCTTGGCCTGCTGCCTCTGCGACCTGGCTCCGGATAAGCAGATGAAAATGGATGGATGGATGGATGGATTAATAAACTATTTATTCAGCACCTTTTCTAAACACAGTTACAAAGTGCTTTACGTCGTTGAAATAGGAACAAAAAACAGTGGGACTGCAATGAAATGAAATCAGACAACTGCAACAATACAAGTTAAAATGGAAATAAAATACCCAAAAGCTAAGAAGACTATAGGAACTTGAGTTCTTATAACAGCAATGTAACAGGTGCAGATTGTATAGAGGGCAGTTACACTGACAAAAAAAAAAAAAAGTACTGACCCTAAAATGTGCAGATGTGACAGAAAAAATAATTCTCCTCTTCCAGAAATTCTTATTTCCAAACAATTTTGGATTCATTTATTCATTCATTTTCTGTAACTGCTTATCCTCTTGAGGGTCACGGGGAGGGGGGGGGGGGGGGGGGGNGGAGCCTATCCCAGCTGTCACTGGGTGAGAGGCAGGGTTCACCCTGGACAGGACGCCAGACTATCGCAGAAACATAGAGACAGACAACCATTCACGATCATATTCACACCTACGGACAATTTAGAGTCACCAGTTAACCTGGATGTCTTTGGACTGCGGGAGGAAGCCGGAGTACCTGCAGAAAACTCACGCTGACACGGGGAGAACATGCAAACACGGAAGGGCTCCCCCACCCTGGGTTCAAACTAGGAACCCTCTTGCAACAATGCTTACCACTGCACCACCGTGCCGCAACAATTTTAGAATAAGCTGTTCATAAGATAACAGTGCTCTTTTTCTGCTTTGTGCTTGGTTGACAGAGGTGTGTGACAGCGCGCTGGTGTCCAATCTGCCACCTTCATCCTTCAGAAGCTCCTCCCAGCTGTCCAGCAGTCACGCACCGGGCTTTGCCAAACTAAACAGGAGAGACGGTAAGGAAGAGTTTCTGCTGCTGACCAGTCTGGACACATTAATACCTAATTGTGCTGAATTCCTATTAATATTGTTATCGTCAGTGTATTAGGGAATAATGTTTGTATTGCCTGTGTTGTTTCTTTAAGTGAGGATGCAAGGTTATCTTTCAGTCCAATGAAATTTGACATACCTGAGTCTAACAAGAACAGTAAAGGGGAAGCTAGAGGCCAAATCTCTCCTGTGGTACTGACGAGCTGCTCTGCTGCAGCGACTCTCAGTAGAGAAGAGATTTTGTTTAAGCTCAGGACACAGAGCACAAAACATAGCAAACAGGAAAGTTTTTTACTTGGTTCACAAAGATAGGGGATCAAAAAAGAGAAAGAACAAGCAATAGCTGCTTTGTCCCATCTTTATTCCCTATAGATGCTGTTTGTACTGAAGGTTTATGCCAGAAAGATAAATGTGAATGGTGTTTGTGCAACACAAAAAACCCAGCAGGGAGTTCAGTGCTGGATGCTGATGTGAGGCTTTGACGAAATAAAGATCATGGTTTGTTGTGCAGCTTTCTGCAGGGAACAGGCTTCACTGCTTTATCCCGACATCAAAGCCCAGAATCAGCTGGGAGGGTGAGATGGGTTTAATCTGGATCTGAATGATTTTCACCACCTGGGAAATGAAAGGAAGCAGAGCCTGCAGTACACTGCTCAGTCCTCAGTTTGTTTGATGGTTAGGACTTTACGCAAACAGTGTTTTTGTGGCAAAATGCTGCCAGTCTTCTTTCTTTGTTTGCTGATCTGACTTTGATTTTTTTGGCAACAGTGGATTGACAAGGCTCTCTCTTCTGGTACCAGTAGGTATCTGTATCACCTGTAACAGTATCCAGCACACTGAATTATATTTAAAGGTCAGCTTTTACTTTAAAGTGTAAGTAAAGAGTCTGACTCCCGTCCAAGACTGCCATCATTACAAGAAGGGAAGAAGTGAAGGTTGCCCTGATACTTGAGGTCATGTAGTTGTGTAGTTGAGACTGTAAGAGCTAATTTTCCTTGCTGCCCTTTGCTAACACTTGCCGGTCTGAAGCCTGTCTGCTGTAATGCTGCTGACATTTCCTGGTCTTTCATTAACTCTTACAAGAGACAGGCGAGCCAAAGATGTCTGATATAAAAATATATCAAACATACTGTATGTGGAGACCTGCAGTTAAACACTTTAATGAAAACTGTGACCTTTGGCCGTTTTCATATTACATATATATATTTACTTTTTTTTTCAAGATATTCTTTACTTCACAGTTGCTGCTAGATATTTTTAGTACCTTGACAAACTTTGACTTTTTAACCAAAAATAAAAGCATGTGTGGGCAGTAATGTCCATCTGTCTAGTGGTCTGAGAGGGTGTCCTACTGTTCAGCATAGTCTTTATATCTTCCCACGTGGTCATGTACAAATGCACTTTATGTCCGAGTAAACAGTCAGACGAGGCTGAACACCTGACATTGCTCCATAATGCTCAAGTGTCTTTTATGAGGAAATAAAAGATTTACTTAAGACTGTCTCTGACCAATGACATGATATATTCCAAAAACCAAAAAGTCTGACACTGTATCTTAAGATGAGAGCACTATTGTTTGAAGAAATCAAACACTCAAGCCAGAATGGATTGCGCTCTGCTGCTTCATCGGTGCCCAGAGTACTTTCTGCTGCTCTGAGAGTGTGGTGCTCTGAATAACCGAATGGTATATTCCAACAGAGCTCCCAAGCTAAAACTGCTGTCTGTCTCTGTTTTGATGGACAAATGCATGATTACAGGTTAATTAATAAACAAAGTTAATGGACAGATATACCCTCTGTTTTATTTCTCTCCGCTTTGTGATGTATCAGTGTAGTCAGGCATTAGCTTCATCTAGGGTTTGCTTTAAAAAATGCTTACGCTACAGATAAAAGAGACAGTGTAGTTTTCCGTAATTCATCACATGTGGCACACAAGGAGCAGCACTGGCTGGCTTGCTGCCCCCACCATGGGAGTGCCACAGTGCATGCCATGCACCATAACAAAAACCTAATAAATTGATGATAGAATTTGTTGTCTACAATTTCAGTTGACCCCACCTGCCCCTGATTGTCTTCACTACATCCTACAAGCTCTCTCAGCTTTTTCAGTCTAATGAATAAATAATAGAAAGTCACAAAATATCAAGAAAGGTAATATTCATCTATTCTTACACCCATTTTCAGAGAATGGGTGTAAGAATACAGAGAATACAGTTTCTCACTAAGACTAACATTAGCTTAATTGCCTCGTTAACTCAAGGTAAAACACAATTAACTCTAACTTTGAACTCAACAGAAACAAAATAAAACTCATCAAAACCATCTCAGTTAGTCTTGTCAGTCTTCTAGTTGGTTAGTCCACTGTTTCAAAAATCATCAACTCTGATTTTGTCCCATAATACACCAAGTTAGATGTGAAAATATTGTTTCTTACCTGCAGTCTTTCTCAGTTGTCGCTGTCCGAGTGTTTACACTCCTGTAACATTATCCCATCTCTATGACTGTCAGCTCAGCTCCCTGTTCAATCAGTAGAGTCTAACCTCTGGTGGCATGTTCACTATATACAACATATCCTTAATACAGCATTTCTATGTGAATTTAATTGAAAAATTAGCACCTGTATTTTTGACAATATTGCAAATCATACCACTGAGATTTTTGTACCCTGATATACCGTAATATCATGTTACCACCCAAGCCTAATGTAGAACCTGAAACGCTTCCACACACTGCTTCTCAGATCGGTGTTGCGATTGTCTTTTCAGCGCGGCTTGGCTCGCTACTGCCCTCCTGTATTTTTATCTATTAGCTTAGTGAAGTGAAAGGTCAATAGGGTATGCATTGGATCAGTCTGATGGTGAATTTTAAAAGCACCATCTGCTGGAGAGGGCAAAGTACTTTAAATAGTTTGTTGCACTTATAGACTGTACATTTTGAATCTGAACAGGTCTTTACAATTCAGACTCAGTACTTTACCCACGTTTAAACTAAAGTTTGAGTTTTTATAAGAAGTCCTGACCCTGCAGAAGAACTCCTGGAATGTAATGGATTGGTGATATATGTTATGAATATATGATTAACCATTGCGGTTTCGCTTCCACAGCAAATAAAATGACAAACAACAGTGGTAACATTCATGCATTTCCCTAATCTAGCTCTAGCATGTAATAGGTAGATAAGGAAAGCTGTGTGTGTGTCACATTTCCCCCTCAGCAACATTCATGGTGCAGGATCCCGAAAAGCGATTCCAGCTGCTCGCCGAGGAAATCAATGAATAAATGAACATCTCAATCTCATTTCCATCTTCTTCTGCTGCTGCTGCTGCTGCTGCTAACACTCTGCCAGTTGTTCTCTGAGGAGCAGCTTCGCTCTCAATTCATTTACCCACATACTGTGAACAGGGATTATCAGTGTGGGAATACTACCTACGCAGCATTTTTACAATTTTGAATCTATACATACATGCAGAATCATCCCAGTACTATGATGTGAATATGTCGTTTTCAGATAGGGATGAATTGGGATATCATAGCACCACATAAAGATCATATAAATCTAATGAACTAGCTTTTAAATGGGACATGTTAACCCTGTAGAGGAATTATGTAAATGTTGGGCACGCTGTGTCCTTTTATGATATGGTACTCTAATAAGAGTCTTGCAGTTCTGTGAGGTTATACTTCGGCACAGTAGGCGTCATTAATGTTTATCATTTTAGTTTAGCATGTTAGCATGCTAACATTTTGTAATTAGCATTAAACTCAAAGGGCAGCTCAGGCTGATGGAAATGCAAGTATTTAGTCATAAACCAGTGTATCAGACAAATTTTGACTTGATGATGGCACTTGATCACTGCTGCTCAAAGTGCAGCCCACAGGCCAATGATCACCCTCAGAAACATTTTGTGCTGCCCCAAACAGGAAATGTATTGTTGTATGTAGGGCTGTAGTCAACCAAAGAACATCTTGGTCGACTAAAGTCGTACATAATCTTCGACTAATTGATTAGTTGTGGGGAAAAAAAAAATCTGCACGTTATTTTTTACTTCTGCGGTGGTGTGTCTGTGTCACTCTGCAGTTACACCTCCAAAATGCTAGCCAGCGGTGGAGGACTCTGTTAAGTGCTGTAAAGTTTAGTTGATTCAAAACACACAATAAACATGGCTTAATAGAGACAATTTCAAACACAAGTATGCAAATTGGATTCACTAAAAATCGCAGAATTGACAGACAAACACTTGTCTTTATCTGGACACATTTCCCCCACCAATACAACATGCTACCATAATAGCACAAGTCTATGGCATTTTACATTGTATAAACTAGCGTAGCGTCTAGCGATCTTTTCCTCTTCTCATATAAAACCAGGGACAACAGCAACATTTAATAAAGGTAATGGCACACAGTTTGGCTCCATAACATATCACAAGGTTCATTGACAAAACAACTGTCTTATACTAAACACGTTTTCCAAGCAAATACAACATGCTAACGTTGTTAGCGCCAGCCTATGGAATTTTACATTGTATATGTTAGCCTAGCAACTAGCAAACTTTCCCTTGTCTCATATAAAGTCAGGGACAACAGCACCATTTAACAAAAGGTAACGGCACTCAATGTGGCTCCATTGCAGCTCACAAGATTCACCGACAAAACAACCGTCGCACTAAACACGTTTTCCAAACAAATGCAGCATGCTAACGTTATTAGCGTCAGCCTATGGCTTTTTACATTGTATAAATTAAATTAGCAACGAGCGGATATTTCCTCTGTTCATATGAAGCCAGGATAAATCCGGAAGTATAAATCCCTGAAGGATAAGTCACACACGACTTAAAATGCTATTTTAGTGGAGGCTTTACTGTCTTCACAATTTATTGTTTCTTATCTGTGAAATACAAGTAGGCCTAAATACGAGCTTCGTTTCCACTGAGGGAAACGGTGTCAGTATACAGAAACTGACAGGAG